CCAACTAGTAAAACATTTGATCTTGAACATTGACTGGATCCACCAGTGAAGACGGATAAAGCACATGGACAAACATAAGTGTCGAGACCCAATAAGAAAAGACCGCTTGGTACAAATAAAATCGAGTGCAACCAAAACTCGTTACAAAAAACAACTACAGTCAATGAATAAAACCAATCGATCAAGACTAAACCCCAAATATTGGAGACACAAGAGACGCGCAGTAATTGTATATTTTTAATTTCTTAAATTCAGCAATAACTCATGCATGCATATGTATAATCTTATGGCATGTTTACTTACGCTTAATCGGAATGAGCATGAATCAGAGTGTGCAGGATTCGGAGTGGGTAGGATTCGGAGTGAGGAATCGGAGTCAGAATAAGTTGTTTACTTAGTGATAAGATTCGGAATCGGAGTCATTCCAAATCTCATTCATACATTTACTTACACCCAGAATAAGAATAAAAAAGTGTAAAAGTACTAATATACCCTTTAAATCAATTTGATATTTTCAATTTAAACAATATATTGTGTACTTATTATATTAAAATTAATCATAATTAAAATATTTAGTGTAATAATGGGGTACTAAAATAATAAATATAAATTGTACAACTATTTAAAATATAAAAATAAATTTTAAAAAAAATTAAATAAAATAAATAAAAATAAAAAATAGTGTTAAAAAAATAAAATATATTATTAATTTATTAAAAAATAAAATATATATTTATTATATTAAAGTTAACAATAATTATGCTAATATTATAATATTAGGCAAATAAAATAATAAATATATGTTGCATTTATTATTTTTTGAATTTTATTTTGAATTGTGTATTTATAAGTAAAATAAGGCTATGATAGTAAATTAATATTAATATTAGGAATGAGAGTCTCAATTCTAAGAGGAGCATGGGAGGGCCAATCTCATTCCTCAATCCTAAATAAACATAAAATTAAGTCACATTTTCCACTCTCATTCTTCAATCTTGGTAAGTAAACATGCCATTATTGTTTTATTTCCTTTAACTAGATATATATATATATATATATTTTGTAAATATATTTATTTCTCTCTTTATAACAGCTTTAAAAGCAACGTATAAGCTGTTTGTCACACTGCCATGATTTGGACTCTTAACAGTACTACAAGAAGCTGTGCTCCAAGTGATAATAATATAAAAATTAACCAAAATAAACAAATGCGTTTGTCCTCACTATTAATTAATTAATTAAAGAAAAAAAGGAATATAATATTAACTTTTGTCTAATAGCTAGTGGATCAGGGTCAAATTCATAATCTTTATTCTTAGTCACCCATTACATAAGTTTAATTTCCCCATATATTATAAACTTTGTCTACTTCAAAAAATAATATTGTCACATTCAGTGTAATATAATTAATGTTGAACGCGTTTTACTACTTACTACATACTTTCCTAGGAAAGTGCTCTATTTTGAGGAATAAACGAGAGACTTTACGTTTCAACAAGGTTTGACTGACCTTGGAATGACTTTTTAATATTTCTTTTTTTTTTTTTATAAAAGTAAATTTCATTATCAAAAGAAACGAAATTTCCGAGAGAGGGGGAAGTTAATATTTCTGAGAGAGGGCAAAATTAAGCAAAAATCCCATTACTTTTTGTTGTTCAGCACCCACGTAGAAGCACACCTGACGGGGACGCTGATTAGGACTATTAATATATAATTTTCTTACATTATTTAATTCCCTTATTAAAAAAAAGGTTTGTAATATTAGTTGAAATTTTACCTTCAATTATAAGTTATTGTCAGATGAGCTTTATATATGTATCGAGAAAAAAAATACAACTTTCTATAATAGGTCTCTTTTAATTCTGAATGTATTTAAACGTTGTATCTGATTAAAATCTCATAAAACTGAAAAAAAAAAAAAACATGCAGAAATGGTAATACAGATAGAAATCAGATGGTTCCAGCAAGAAAAATTGTAGTATTCTCAATACATTATCATTATGTATATTTTTATATGGCATGGACATATATATGTTTTTTGTATGTGAAGGATTAACAAGTGTGTTTAAGAAAGAACAGGCATACTTTTATTCAGCAAAAAAAAAAAAAAAGAACAGGCATTATATATTTATTCTACAGCTGGCCGTAAAAAAATTAGAAGAAAATTCCCTAAAGAAGAAGGAAAAAAAAAAAAAGAAATGTAAATGTATTCTTTTGGTTTCAGAAAAATAAAAGAGAAAAAACCATATATTCCAAAACATAAAAAGGTATTACAAATACTAATCCACACAAAACTTTTAATAATAGGAAACATGACATCGATAGACAACTATTTCTCGTAGCGAATTCGAATTAAACGCTTATGAAGATATATTGTACATCCAGTTCTACAAACAGAAGAGACTCAAAAAGACAAGCTAAAAATTATTTACACACATGACTCTTCAACAAAACCTCTACAGTTAAGGGAGACAAGCTTGATATTAAAACCACAAAAAAAAAAAAAACAAATCTAATAGATGAAAAGGCGAACTAAACACTAGTCAAACTAAAAAAAAAAAGACCAAATTAATCTAGGTAAAACCATTGTTATTGCAAACGGAAAATAAGAAAATCCACAAATAAGAACTTCAAAACAAGAAGAAGTTTGAGCCCTTCAACACGGGTGGAAGAAAACAAAAGAAAATACGATCACTTGGCATGCACACACCGCGTCCATCACTAGCTTGATATTGATTCCAATAATTAGAATAAATACAATTTTAATTGTATGCTTTTATCAGGGTAAGATTTTAGTAACTATATTGATAAAATTTTCTTCTTTAGTAAACACTAAAAAACTTGAAAGATCTATATTCTCATATTTTAGTACATTAAATGCTAAATAGACTAATGAAATTTCTTTATTATCATTTTTATTTCCATGTTTAGATTTTTTTTTTCATTACTATTTGATAAACACACCCAAAAACGTAATGATCGTTGGATATGATAAATGTCATCATCTTTCTTTACAATGGCACTCCAAAAGTAAAATAAGAAAACATTTAGGGGTTGTTCTTTGGCAACAAAACTCAGAAAAATTTTGAACTCGAGTTATAATTTTATTCAAGTTCATGTTTTTTTTGTAAAATTTGAGTTTGAACTCGAGTTTAAACTCGAGTTTGGGGCTAAACTCGAGTTCAAGTTTTTCCTTCAACTCGAGTTCATAAACTCGAACTCAAGTTAATGAACAGTATTTTTTCTATTCTTAAAAATGTCATAACTTTTTCGTTTTAATTCTGATTGAGATGATTTTTTTTCTATGCATTCACAATGAAAAGATGAATAAAATTCCACCCATATACCATATTTCATTACCATTGAGTTTTTATTAAAATACTATCTAAATACAAATTTAAGTTTTAACCTACCCAAACACAAACTGAAAAAGATTCTCAATTCAAATCATAACTCAAATGTATACATCCAAACACAAACTCAAGTTACAACTTCAACTCAAGTTATAACTCAAACTCAACTCAAGATCATCACTCAAGTCACCCTAACTCAAAAATGTAAAAGAACAACCCCTTAGTTGTTAATATCACACAATAATAAAATGCCAATCTCATGGTATAAAACTCACCAATACCTAAATTGATACAATAATTGAGATTAGAGTCAAGTGTCAGCCCATATTTTCTTTTACTAATAAAATGAAAATGTAGATCTCCAATCTAATTCTCATGGTGCGTTTGATAGATGGACCAAGAATTATGATTCTTGATTTTAGTTTAGAATCAGTGATTATTTACAGTAATTTTAAATCATGATTATGAATTAGTGTTTAATTTGGATAATTCTGAATCATGATTTAAAATCTGATGTAATGTTTTAAATTTGCTCAAATCATCTCTTGATTCAAGGTAATTCAAATCCCTGATTTTGAATCATAATTTTAGAATCATAATTTAAACTCAAAATCATAAATTTTAATTTTAATTTTAAAATTATGATTAAAATTTTTTTAATTTAAATTCTCGTACCAAACAAACTCTTAGTTCTTAGCTAGTTTCCATCCCTCAGTGTGTGGAAGGTTGGCGGCGTTAACGGTCCCACTCACCACAGGCCTAAGCTAGCCTAGCTAATTGATCGTCAAATCCAAAACTCATTTCAAAATCATTACCATTGGCTAAAATCTAACCATAGTAAATCATAATTTAACCACGGTTAAATATTTTCTCTCTTATATACCCTATTTTAATTAGGGGTGGTAATTCGTGTCACGTATTATGTTCGTGTCGTATTTTGATCTTTTTTTTTTAAATTTACAGTCAACCCGAACACGACCCGTTACACGAAATTTTTTAAAAACCGTAACACGAACACGACACGACCACTTTACGAGTTGACACGACACAACCTGAAAATAGCCCGTGACACAAAATTGACTCATGAATCTGAAATTGACACGTAAATTGTATACTTTTATTTACTTTTTTACATATTAAAAATAACTTAAAATTCATAACCCACTAAATTACAATAACATCCATTGAAATTAAGCAAATAATAGTATAAGATTTTGAGTATAACTATCATGATATCACAAGTTCATAATAAAATTTAAAATATAAAATGAAAAATATATGTATTTTTTAGTTTTTTACGAGTTTCGTGTCGTGTTCGGATTAGGCGGGTCTACTCCGAAATTTACCCGTATTTTTCGTGTTAATTTCAGGTCGACCTAATTCTGACCCGAACCTCTTTTTTCTCAATCCTAACTCACAAAATTCGTGTCGTTTTTTAATCGTATCGTCATATCATGACCCATATTACCGGCTCTAATTTTAACCAAACCCACCACCACATTCGTCTATATAATCACTCCATACTCTCCACAACTTCTCCCCCAAACCTTTTCCAATTCTCTCAGCCCCAAAAAAATTTCCTGAGAAAGTTACAACCTTTCTTTCTTTCTCTTTCTCTCTCTCTCTTCAAAAAGTAAAAAAAAAAAAATGTCGTGGGAATCTTGTTTCCTGTTCATTCCTCAAACTGGGTTCTCATCATCACTCATCATGAACTCCAAAACTTTCATCCTTTTTCTCATCTTGGTCTCTGTGATCTCTTTCTTTCTCTCTCCGGGTGGACTCGCCTGGGCTCTCTCCATATCCCGAGTAGCTCATCACAAAGCCGCCATTCCCGGACCTTCCGGTCTTCCTTTCCTCGGCTTACTCTTCACCTTCACCGGCTCCAGTTTACCACACAGACTTCTCTCTCACTACTCCAAAACCTTCGGAGCAAAGCCTTTAATGGCATTCTCCGTCGGGCTCACCCGTTTCGTCGTCTCGAGCCAACCCGAGACGGCGAAAGAGCTTCTGAACAGCTCGGACTTCGCCGATCGGCCGGTGAAGGAATCGGCCTACGAGCTTCTCTTCCACCGAGCCATGGGGTTCGCTCCGTACGGAGACTACTGGAGGAGCCTGCGGAGAATCTCGGCGACTCACCTGTTCAGCCCGCGGCGCCTCGCCGGCTTTGGGGTTTTTCGGCGGGAAATAGGCCTGAAAATGGTTGAGGAAATTAGGGTTTTGATGGGGAGATCAGGTGAAGGGGTTGAGGTTAGGAAAGTGTTGCATTTTGGGTCGCTAAACAATGTGATGATGAGTGTGTTTGGGAAGAGTTATGAGTTTGGGAGTGAGGGCTTTTGTGAGCTTGACAAGTTGGTGAGAGAAGGGTATGATTTGCTTGGGGTTTTCAATTGGAGTGACCATTTTCCTTTTTTGGGTTTGTTGGATTTGCAAGGTGTGAGAAAAAGGTGTAAGAAACTGGTGTTGAGAGTTAATGATTTTGTTGGGAAAATCATTGAAGAGCATAGGATTAAAAGGGACGTTGATGAGAATATTATTAGTGGAAAAGAAAAGGGCAATAATAATATTTGTGAGAGTGGAGATTTTGTTGACGTGTTGCTTGATTTGGAGAAGGAAAACAAGCTCAGTAACTCTGATATGATTGCTGTTTTATGGGTAATAATTTGCCCTCTTCTTATCTTCCTAAATATTATAAAATCATGTGATTCTTATAATAAGTAGAAAATTTTTTCTTTATTTTTTTATTTTCATTTTTTGCTTGGTTTTGATCTTAAGTTTTCATTTTCATTGCATTTATGTGTTCTCCACCTTAGACCTTGTATAAATTTTTAATTTATCTAGTACATACAGATGTATTTGTATTGATATATGTGTGTATCAAGTATTTTGATCTTTTTTTATTATTATTATTTATACAGATGTCTAACTATTCTGTTTGTGGTATTTTTTTACCTTGGTGACCAGGGAATATTTTGTGTAAGCCTGTTTATTTCACCATCGAGTATTTTTCTTTTTTTACTTGGAGACTAAGGAATAATCACATATACATACGTATATAGTACAACACATATGCTACGTCCATTTTCTTCTAATACTCACTTCTCTTATTCCCCATGCAATCTTCCTTTATACCTTTTTTTTTCTTTTTTAAGATGAATTATCCTTCATACTTCTTTCACTCCTCTTTCTTCCCTAAATTTGAAAAAACCAAAAAAAAGAAAAAAACATTTTTCCCTTTCTTTACGTTTACACTAATTAATGAGAATTTCTATTCGCTTTTTTTGTTTTGTTTTGTTTTGTTTTGTTTTTTTGTTTTTTTTGCGCTACTAACAACTAAAATTGTTGATGATCAGGAGATGATATTCAGAGGGACAGACACAGTGGCAATCCTCCTAGAGTGGATCCTGGCAAGAATGATCCTCCATCCAGATATCCAATCCAAGGTCCAATCTGAAATCGATGCCGTCGTCGGAACCCACCGATCCGTCTCCAATTCCGACCTCCCAAACCTCCCTTACCTCCAAGCCGTAGTCAAGGAAACCCTAAGGCTCCACCCGCCGGGTCCACTCCTCTCCTGGGCCCGGCTCGCCATCCACGACACCCGAATGGGCGAACACTTCATCCCCGCCGGCACGACGGCGATCGTGAACATGTGGTCGATAACCCACGACGACCGGGTCTGGCCCGAACCGGATAAATTCAACCCTGAACGGTTCATGGAAGAAGATGTCGTCATTATGGGGTGTGATCTTAGGTTGGCTCCTTTTGGGTCAGGAAGAAGGGTTTGTCCAGGCAAGGCCATGGGCGTAGCCACGGTTGAACTGTGGCTCGCTCAGCTACTCCAAACCTTCAAGTGGGTCCCTCTTGATGATCATAATCATGGTGTGGACTTGTCTGAGACATTGAAACTTTCCTTGGAAATGAAGCAATCTTTGGTCTGCAAGGCTCTTCCTAGGGTTTCCTGATCATGAATATTAAATCTCTGTTTCCTGGTTTTTTTGTTTTTTTGTTTTTTGTTTTTTTTCTGTTTTTTCCTTTTGGGGTTTGTTATAGCAGTTTATTAAGTGTTAACTTGGATATAATCAGGAGATATGTTTGGGATTTCAAATCCTACATAGAAAAGGGTTTTATGGGTGTTATTTATAACTAGGAAAATTACTTTTGGGTCTTCTGGGTGCTACTTTGCAGCATATTAAGCAATATATTTTGTTTGTTCTTGTGGAAATTATGTAATATCACCATCTTTGTCGTTCAATTATAGACTATGTATGCTATAGGTTTTTATCTTAATATTGTATTTTCCCCTTTATAATTTGGCATTTAATTTCTTTTGTGAGTAGTATTACATTGGAGAAAACAATGGAATCTTTTCAAACACTGAAAAAATTAAATATTTCTTCTTTCGGTTCTAATTATGTACAGCATCTTAGTCAAAGTCACGCTTATGTCGGCAGGAAAAAGAAGGAAATTAAAAAGAAAAAGAAACGACATTTGACAAGATTAGATATTAGAAAAAGAAATTAAAATGTGTGCTGTACCATTGCTTTTGGGAAATATGCTGTATCCAAATTAATAAAAAGGATACTTGATATGGATCAAACCATGAAAAAAATTATATTTAAATCCTCAATGTTGAATAAGTAAGAAAACGACTAAATATCGCTTAATTGTAGTGATTAATTGATAAAAATCACTATGAACTCGTTCATTTCACTCGAACATCGTTCGAGTTAAGAATTTGTATTAAAAAATGAATTCATGTGAGATAAAACACTATAAAAGAAAAAGTTGAATTTGAATAAAAACTTGAGTAATGATTCAAACTAACAAAACGACCGAGGCCTATAAATATAAATTTAAGTTGATGGTGCATAGTACACTAATTGAGTCTTGGAATTAATAAGCTGAAAATTTTATTAGACTATCTAAGCGCCTATCTAGTGATAATTATATTTAGATTAAGGCTCACTGAGAACTAACTAATGTTGATTAATGCCTGATCGTTATAAATCATTAGACAGGGGATCTGATTCCTTAAAAAATGATTGATCATATCAATTCACTAGAATTGCATCTTGCGTAAGATCTGTTAGGTGAATTGATGTGAACAAAATTGTGGTCCAAAAAAAAATGTTCTAGAATCATAATGTACTATTAATCCCTATATATATGGTGCAGGCATATGTCCTATGCACATATCACAATTCTGCCATCCTAAATGTTACTTTATGAAAAGAGGTCACACGCGAGTCTTTTTTAAAACCACAATTATTTTCTATGATCACTCAGTCTAATTAACGAAATTATCAACATCATGTGGTAATATTTGGATTGAGATTAATTGTTTAATTTTAAACATCTCAATTAATGTCTAATCAATTATAGTATGACATGTTTAAAAAACTGAAACATTAAAGCATAGAAAAGTTAGTTAAAAAAGCATTTTAAATATTATAGTATTACACGTCATTTAATATGATTGGTTAGATATTAAAATTAAACAGATAATATGAACCCTGAATATAATATATATATATATATATCAAGCATATATTTTCATAAAGTTTTATATATATATCAAGCAGATATTTTCATCAAGTTTTTATTTTCAAATTCTCTTATTGATCACATTTTTTCCATTTTAATTACTCAAATGAAATATACTAGACAATTATATTTTGTATATTACATGCTTTTGTTTTTTTTTTTTTGGTTATTTAGAATCCCAAGACCCTTAACTATAAGCAATTTGTCATTTCAGTCTCAGAACTTTTTCTCTTAACAAATTACTTCCTAAACTTTAGTTTTTTTTTTTTTTTTTTCTTGACACTAAACTTGATAAAAGATTTCTAAAATTTGATAGCGATAATCATATCCCTATTGTATTGCAACTAAAACTTTTACAGAAGCAGTTATATTAATTAATATAAAATTTTCTATTATTTAAAGGTCTTTAAATGTTCTCTTCTGTAATGGTTTTAAATAAAAGAAAAGAGAATATTTTGTATTTAATATACTTATTTTTGTAAAACTTTCACTTACTATTCGATAGAGAGGTGATAATTAAATCTTTATTAATTATAAACATTCTGTCAATTTTAGTATCAATGACTAAAACTGCCAAAAAATTCAAATTTAAGTAGCAATCTGTCAAAAAAAAATAAAAAAAGGTCATAGTTAATCAGGACTCACAGTGCTAGCTGACACTTCTTTTTTTTTTTCTCTATACCCTCGTGATTCTTTTATACATGTCTTGATCAATATTGTACAAGAAAAGGGAATTGGGAAAGGAAAAGGTTGATTACTTCTGTGACAAGAGATTCTTTATTCACTTAGTTAATTTAATTTCTGATCATTTATGGGGATATTAAAGGAAAGGGGGAAAAACGCTTGCCTTTTGCTTTAATTTGATTTGATCATCATTAGGCCCTTATGCTAAATATTGATTGATCTAGGAATAACAGAATAAAGAACCCTAAGCCAAAGAATGATATGGCTCACCTCTTTTGTGATCAGGATGATCACAATCTTTCACAAAGAATATATGTATGTTGGTGGAGAAGCTGGCTTTGATTTGGTGAAAAAGCTATCCTCCTTTTTCCCTCATATTAATAAAAGAAAAATTCACACATATGAATATCCACTCACAACACAAACAGGCTCACATGTTTACAAGTACTCGTACAATTTTATTTTTTTTTTTGAACCAATTCGATCGTATTCACACATTGCTATCGACAAATGCAAGTTGCATTGGTCTATTTCTTATAAGCAATAAAAAGCGGGGAAAAGGGTTTGGTTTTGATCCTTTTTAACTGATCCTAGCTAACTAATGATACTCAATATCTCTATATATTCCTTTCCTCCACCTAAAGTAGTTTCCAATATCACCTGAAAATACGGAGGAATATATATGTGTAAGTATACATACATACATACGTACACACACACACACACACACATATATATATATAAATATATATATATATATATATACATGCGCTATCTCTGCTCGTATCATATCCCATTTTGTTTAGAAAATATATGATCAAGAGTACTACATTTTTTTTTTGGCTGATCAAATAATTGAATATCCGTACACCGATACGCATATAGTATGTACGGTACATGTTGTATAAAGTGAAGAGGAGACATATCTCTTTCATTCAATATAGATAGTTTTTTCTTTGTGCTTTGGCGACCTTAAGCATAAATGTGATTCACATATATAGTTGATGAACATGTAAGGCAAGAGAAGTTCTATATATAGGTGCTCATTTTTCGTGGCATCTGAATTCATGTAAAACTTTTTGGTTCTTTATATATATTTTTACTTCTTGAGCAAAAATTCTCCACATAATCACTTACGGATATACAATGGAAGGTAATTTGTGTAAAATTAATGTTGTATTAAGAAAATTGTTTTCACAACTTCATTGGCATATTTTATATTTAAGACTGATATATATATATATATATGTGTGTGTGTGTGTGTGTGTGTGGTAGTCATGGGTTTTCATTTTTTTTTTACCATAAATCATATTAAGTGGTCATATCCAACTGTTTATTCCACCTTCTTTCATAAGCTTCTTTATGGAATTTGAATATTAACCATTAACAGACAAGCTTGTCTATCATCACCATTTCATGCTAGCCAATTAAAAGTTCTTTGTGGCATCAGTCATCAAGTGATTCTTCCCTCTTCTACTACTTTTTCAATTTCCCTAAAAGGGCAAATTAATAATTGATTAGCCAAATATTCACCATATTGAGCCTCAAATACTCACTTCTTTTGGAAATCCAATATACGTAATTTGGTTTAGGAATCCTTCATCTTTTTTGAATAAGAATAATATATATAGATATATACTTTCTAGGACTAGTCTAGCTAGCTAGTAGAATTATATTCATATCTTGGAATAAATATTTAAGGATCTAGAAGACATTACTACAGTATTCACTTCGCAACTATCTATTGTAGTAAAAACCAAAAGAAAGAAACACATCATTCTGCTAAGGAGAGAGAGAGAGAGAGAGAGAGAGAGAGAGAGAGAGAGAGAGAGAGAGAGAGAGAGAGAGAGAGAAAGAGAATAAATAAAAAAAAAAAAAAAAAAACATCTACAATAAGTCTGGTACGATCTACAATAAGTCTGGTACGATCTGATATACAGCGTGCAATGGAATAGAGCGTTTTTCTTTATTATATGAGCAAAGGAAAGTATTGATATGAATTGTCTAGGAAGAGATTACAAACAAATATTTAAAGCGTTTTTCTTTATATATGCTTAATGGAATTTATCAGTTTGTGTGCAACCTTTTTTTTTTAGGTCAGGCTTAGAGCGAGCAAACTAATAAGATCTTATATTTATAAATATTAGTCTTTATCGTATGCGATTCATTTGAATCACAAATCAAAAATTGAATCACAAATCAGTTCAAATAATAAATAAATATAATGAAAAAAAAAAAGAGAAATTGATTTTTTTTGGGGCGGTCTCACGTGTAAACAGGAGCGCGCTAAGAAACAGGTGACTCAAACACCTGCATCATGTGGGGCCTGCATTTCTATTTGGTTCGACCCGAAAAAAGCTTGCGGTGTGATATAAGTGATGGGTCGTAGACGTACTGCGTCAGCGGCAATAGGTGGGCCCCCCCTCTTCCCTTATGTGAATTGGGCCTTGGCACGTGGTCACTAATGTTGGCCACTTATGGGGCTACGGGGGATCAGGCGGTCCGTGCTTTCATGAGCTTGTTTTTTGCACCTAGTAGTCTTTTGACACGTGGATCTTTTTGATCCAACGGTTTTCTTTCTAGCCATGGGAGCCCACGATTTTGACCAGCCAATCACCTTTCGACACGCGACGACTTTGCTGAGTACTCCCGCACCTGACTATTTCCTTCTCTCCGGAAAAAAAAAGAGCCAACGTGGCTCATTATGGGGGAGAAACAGACAAAACGTTTCGTTCCTCCCCAAAAACGCCTTCTTCTTTAGTAAATGTAAAAGATTCATGGGGTGGGATTATGTTGTGACCAAAAAACAAAATTAACAAACAACAATTGTGGTGATAAATTTTCCAAAAAAAAAACAAGAAGAAGAAAAAAGGGTTTTGGTGATAATACATATGATAGGTGTATTTATGTTATTTTTCCTCTCCCATTTCAGAAAGGTAGTAAATAGCATATTTTATAAATTAAATTAAGTAAATAATAAATCTTAAAACTATTTGAAATAAAT